CTACTTCTAGTACAATGGAGAGCAACAACCGACCTTCACGTGAGTAATTCAAATTACAATTTTTTATAAACCAAGCTGTATAGCTATGCAGACACAGAGACGTGATCACTCTTTGCCCAAAATCAGGTAAATGCATTTACCACATCATTGACACGAAAAAAGAATTTTTTTAGTGCGTAAAGTACGACACTAGCATTTCACATACACGGTCCAAGCGACGAGCCACTTTTACGATGAAAGCAAATGCACCAGAAAATCAATTAATCTATGTCATTTAACAATTTTTCGCTTGCAATATTTACTACGTCAGCGATTTTTCAAGTTTCAACCGAACTATGATTATACCAAAGACTCAACTTTTCTATGTCAAACTCAAAACCATTCCGCGCTTAAAATACCAACTATATCAGCAATTTTTCGAGTTTCCATATTGACAGCTAACCATGGTTATAACTACTATAGTGTGCTATATTCGTGATCAAGACACCGAATTACCTACCTCTGTGGGCAAAGTTTCACCGAAAAATTTCTCATTTCGGGGTAGTTATAGTTGAATAGTGCCATTTTATTTCTCGCTGATGATTTTTGCGTTTCCAGCACAATATTTGAGCCTGATTTTTTTTCAGCTTCACCGCATTTGAACCTCTGGTTATAGGGACGATTGGTGCTCTGATTATCAGTGAAATAAGATTAGACTATATGGGAAAATCATGGAAACCTTAGTTTCTGCAGAACGAAAACTGCCCTTCTTCCTCTCAAGTTGATGAGAATTTCAACTTGTTGACGGAAAAAGGTCCGCTTTTTCTCAATAATAGTTTTAGTTTGACTTCCTACAGTGCATTATACCCTGAAACAGTTTACACTGCCACAGCAGCGCAAGACATCTTCTTCTTCTTCTTCTTCTCCCTAGCGTTAGTCCCGCGCCGTCGCAGGGTCCGCTGTTCTTGTTAGACGTCGCCACTTGTTCCGATCCACTGCATCTTCTGCTGTGGCTTTCACTTCAGTGAGGTCCCTCTTGATGACGTCCCTCCATCTTTTCTTTGGGGCTCCTCGTGGTCGCTTGCCCTCTACCTCGAGTTCCAATGCCTTCCTTATTGGGTGGTCTTCAGGCCTCCTCAGTACGTGCCCATACCATCGCAGTCGCTGCTCTCGTGCCTTCAGCTGGATCGGAGCCGTCTGTGTGACCGCCTGACGTCCTCGTTTCTGACTCTGTCGAGTCGTGTCCAGCCGCAGGCCCATCTCAGCATCCTCATTTCAGCTGAGTGGAGCTGCCTTTCATGGTTCTTGCAGATGGGCCAGCACTCACTGCCGTAGAGCATTGTAGGCCTTACCACGCCCGGTACACCTTGCCCTTGAGCGTTCTCGAGCACCGCCGGTCGCACAGGATGCCAGTGGACTCCCTCCATTTCATCCAGGCTGCGTTGATTCGGGCCTTCACCGCCTGGTCCACGCTGCCATCAGCTGCTAGGTTGCTCCCCAGGTACTGGAAGTCCTCGACCCTTTCGATGCTCTCGCCGTGACGGTCTACGATGGGTTCGGTACACTCTTCAGAGCTCAGGAACTTGGTCTTCTTCACGTTCAACCGGAGTCCATTCTCAGCGAGCACATCCTGCCACCGCTGCACCTTGTCCTGGAGTTTTCCCTGCTGTCCGCTATCAGGGCGATGTCGTCAGCGTAGAGGATGGTTTTCAGTGGCCCCATAATTCTTTGTTGCGTTCGTAACATCTACGTCAGGAGGAAAGAGGAAACAGAAAGATGAAAAGAGCTAGAAATACTGAGAAATAGTACACACCAACCGACTTTAATGATTAACCTCTTCGTAAGCCGTGAGGGGTGCGTACAGCTGCTTTAGCCCCATCGTACATATCCTTCACTATGGAGATCAGGTGCTCCGGAACGTTACGTTCTCTGAGCGCTCTCCAGAGTACAGGCCGAGGCAGGCGGTCGAATGCCTTCTTAAGTCACAGGAAGGCTAGGTAGCACGGTCGCCGCTTCTCTCGGTACTTCTCCATCAGCTGTCTGGCGATGAAGATGGCATCGGTGGTGGACCTCTCGGGCATGAAGCCGAACTGTTCCTGCGAGATAGGGACAAGTTCCCTCAGCCTAGTGTTGACCAGGCCTCGTACAGCTCATGGTATGGGAGTCACTTCGATGCCCGGTATTGCGAGCAACCTACCGCTCTTCCGATTCTGTTTGAAGATGGGACGATTGTGCTGCTCCTCCACGCATCTGGCATCCTTCCTTCAGCCGTTACGTTGTTTAGGAAGTCTGTGAGCCAACTCACCCCATGCTCTCCAGGGCCTTCCATGCCTCTATCGGTACCCCGTCTGGACCCACTGCTTTCCCAACTTTCATTCTCCCTAGCTCTCGGCGGACTTCATCCTTCCGTCCAGGGAGTGATGGGGCCTGCCGTCGCCTCTATCTGTGGGCTGTCCTTGCGGGGGAATTCTTCGTTCAGAAGTCCCTCGAAGTATTCTTCCCACCTCTTCCTGACTTCGGCTGGTTTCCTGAGAATGGCCCCGTTGCTGCTCTTCACAGTCTTTACGACCCTGATGTCCTGAGCAGCGCGATGCCGAGCTTTAGCCAGGCGGAAGACGAACTTGTCCCCTTCTCGGCCTTCCAGCTTGTCGTACAGGGCGTCCATTTCCGTATTCTTGGCCTTAGCAACGGCTGCCTTAGCGAGTCGCTTGCAGCTCTTGTAGGCAGCGTAGTCTTCTGGGCTCCGTGTCTTTTGCCAGCGTTTGTATGCTTCCTTCTTCTGCTTGACGATCCCTGGACTTCCTCGTTCCAGAACCAGGCTGCCTTGTCTCCTCTGATACCACCTCGCGTCTCTCCCAGGACTTCCTTTGCACACTGTAGGATGACCTCGACTGCGTGGGTCCAGGTGTCCTGGACTGGCCCATGTGGGTCTGGAGTCCAGCCTCCAGTATTCTTCGGCCGAGGCTATCCTTTTCTACCCTGCCCATTTTCCACCACCGAATTCTCCGCTCTGCTCTCACCCTCGTCTTCTTGGGGAGGTCTATGGCGATGTCTGCCAGGAGAGGCCTGTGCTGAGGGCCCAGCTCTTCCCCAGGCAGTACCTTGATATCCTTGACGGTTTTGAGAGACGATCTTCTGACCAGGACATGGTCGATTTCCGTTTGTCTCCCTCCACTGCTGTAGGTTATCTTCTGAGTCCTCCTTTTCGCGAAGAAGGTGCTACAGATTGCTAAGTCGTGGGCTGTGGCTAGGTCAAGGATCCGTTCTCCCTCAGCGTTCTTTGTCCCTATTCCTTGACCTCCGTGCACCCTTTCTAGACCCCTTCTGTCCTTCCCACATGGCCATTCAGATCCCCAGCTATGGTGAGGTAGTCCTCTTCCGGAACCGATCTTATGGCCTCGTCCAGGGTCAGGTAGAACTCATCCTTTTCCGCCTCGGAGCAACCGGATTGTGGTGCGTACACGGTCAGTACTGTCCAGTACCCCTCCTTCGTGTCCATTCTCACTCCCATGATCCGATCACTGATTCTGTTCACAGAGGAGACGCAGTCCTTGAGGGATTCTGCCACCGCTATGGCCACGCCATTCCGTTTGGTGTCTGCTCCATTGTAGAAGAGTTTGACACCTTCTCCAATCTCGCGGGCCTTCGCACCCTTCCATCGCGTTTCCTGAAGGCATAGGACTTGGATATTCCTCCGTCTCATGAGGTCGGCAACCTCACGAGACTTCCCGGTAAGCGACCCCACGTTCAGGGTCCCAATTCGAACTAGCTTCTTTGGCCGAGGTCGTTCACCCCTCGGTAGCCCTCGCATACTGACCACAGAACTC